ATATGTCTATATATACATATATGTATATATATACATGTGTATATATATACATATATATGTATATATATACACACACAGACACACAGACACACACACACACACACACACACACACACACACACACACACACACACACACACACACACACACACACACACACACACACACACACACACACACACACACACACACACACACACACACACACACACACACACACACACACACACATATACATGTATATACATACACACACACACACATGTATATTTATGTATATGTTTATATGTATACAAACACACACACACACACACATATATATGTATATATATGTATATATATATGTGTGTGTATATAAATATAAATAAATATATATATATATATATATATATATATATATATATATATATATATATATATATATATATATATATGTATATTTATGTATATGTTTATATGTATACAAACAAACACACACACACACACACATATATATGTATATATATATGTGTGTGTGTGTATATAAATATAAATATAAATATATATATATATATATATATATATATATATAAATATATATATATATATATATATATATGTATATTTATGTATATGTTTATATGTATACAAACACAAACACAAACACACACACACACACACACACACACACACACACACACACACACACACACACACACACACACACACACACACACACACACACACACACACAAAACACCAAACTTTTTTTTTCTCTCTCCCTGTCTTTTTTTCTCCTATGTAATATGAACTCCTTTTCTCCTGTCCACATCTATAGTGGACTAATTCAGACAAATAATGAAAGATACAAATGGCATACCAGCCACTTCCAGATTTTGTTCTTTGGAGTATACATACTGATATCATGAAGAATAGTAAAACACTCTTCTGTATAAGTACTATGGTAGAAAATGCAAAAACTAGATTTATTGAAAATGAGACTAGAGTTTTGAAATCCACCTGGATTCCAGTTCAGGTGCATTTCGAAACTGTGGTCTCATTTTCAATAAATCTAGTATCTGCACAGTGGGTTTTTCTACCATATTGATATCATATATAGCAGTATCAAGGATCTCATCAGATATGAACATTTTTAGTTTTTTTAAAGTGTTAGTTATACCAGTTAAAAATCAAAGCCAGTTTGCTTTTGAGACACAAATACTCCACATACCAAATATTAAATTCTTATCTATCAGTAAAATCTGGAATGAGTTTCAAATGCTAATAAGTTTAAATTTGTGTTTTAGAGGTGATGCTATTGGCCATTTAATTGACTTGCTACTTATGATTTTTTTGTATTTTCCCTTGAAATTGCTTTTTATCAGGCAAAACTTATATCCAAGCATATATTAAAAGGAGTAATAAAAGACACTTTCTGGAAAATAAACTCACTTTGTTCTACTCCTGCAATAACCTTGTACAGAGCCATCGCTAGGCTGAGCCTAGTTTCAAACCTGTTTAAAACAATGCCGGAGACGAACCTACGTGACAACACCAGTTAGAATTAACAGACAGCATTTGTATATATGATATTCCTTCTGTGTCGTATATGAAAATAAAAACTGTATTATTGACCCCTTTACCTGCACTATATTTGACTTCAAAAATTTACATCCAGCTTCAACATATTTAACATTCATGTGCCATAAAGTCCTTGAGCATCACCAGTACAGGGTAAAATGTCAAGTTCATGTTTCCTTTTCCTATTCTGTTTTAACAGTAAAATATCTACCTTTCCCATGGGGCAGTTACTAATGCATTAACATTACCATTGCATAATAATCAGCAGCATTAGTTACCACTAAACAAAAGGTATATATGTCCAAGTGTGTTTTCTTGGCTGTTAAAGCTAACCTTTCATGCTCAGGATCCTGGGATTTAAGGTTCTTCTTTTTTATTTTCAATTTTTTTCTCTTATTGTTAAAAGACACCACCTGATCTCATCAGACCTTTGGTAATTGCAAATATGTCTATGAATGAATTAAATCATTAACAAGTTCTTGCACCTAAACAGAGCACCACACTGACACTTTTCCAGCTTGGCTTAGTAAGGGGAGAACTTAAGGAATCTCCTCCTCCCATGAAGCATGACAAAATCCACAACTGCACAGGACATCCTGACCTCACTTCCTCTGGGGAGTTAACATGTAAAGCCTAGGCACCAATGTGATTTTAATTCTTCCTTTTTTCTTAACAGGCATAGTTTGACTAACAAGTAAAAAAGCATTTGGTTTAAAATTGAGCTGGAAAAGTCTCAGTGTGGAGCAGCTTTGACCTCAGAAACCATGACTCATCAACAGAGCTAGATCATCCATGACTCTTCAGTTGCACAAAGTGAAGTCTGCTTATGCTGTGCATCACTTCAGATGCTGGAGTTTCTTTTGTGCTTCAGCATGCTGCAGTAAGAATCCCTAAAAGGTGAAATGTGAATGATGATGTAAAAAGCATTTTAAGAAAATCTAAAAAATTATCAGTTATCAGTTTCAACAAGTAACAACTCTGAGACATAGAAGTAAACTCAGCTTTCCTACAACAGCAAAAGGAGGGAAAGCATGGACTCATGTCAAAGTATCAAAATCTTCTCACCTGCAAATTCACAAGGCAGGTGGTAATCAAATCATAGAAAACAAAATTGCATCTTAACCAAAAAATACAAAGTAAAAAAGACTTTGCATGGAAAGAAGCAACATATGTGATGTTCTTCTGAAATTACTTGAATATCTGCAGTAATATTGCCTTTGTATAGGATCATTTCAGACAAGTACTATCACAATAAGCTGGTCTCCAAAGCCTTTTAAAAGTGAAAATAGATGCAAGCAGACATTTGCAACCAAAATAGTAATCTACAAAGTCTATGATATCAGAATCTGATAATATATACAATGACAAATATACACTTTTTGTGTGTGTGACAGTCACATGATTAATTCTTTTTGTGTCTTGTATTTGTAATCTTAAAGCACCTGAAACCTCTCAAGACTTTGTGGTTTGCCTGTCTTATGTTTTAGATACTCGCCCAACACACCACACAAATCATTGCATATTATATGAACTTCACAACAGTATACATTTATCTGTATCATATTTCAAAATAAATATTGGTATGTGTGTTTATAAATATATTTACATGCATGTGTGACAGTATATATAAGCACACTAACAAACACCCATACCCACATGCACACATGCACACACACACACACACACACACCTACTACTACTATGTGTATGTGTGTGTGTGTGTGTGTGTGTGTGTGTGTGTGTGTGTGTGTGTGTGTGTGTGTGTGTGTGTGTGTGTGTGTGTGTGTGTGTGTGTGTGTGTGTGTGTGTTTCCATCGCATACATACTTACATGCACATGCACACTTACACTTACACGTGCACACGCACACACACACACACACACACACATGCACATACATATATACATATATGTACATATATATATACATAAATATATGTATATGTATATATATTATTATATATGTATGTATTTGTGTGTGTGTGTGTGTGTGTGTGTGTGTGTGTGTGTGTGTGTGTGTGTGTGTGTGTGTGTGTGTGTGTGTGTGTGTGTATATAGTGTGTGTATATATATATATATATATATATATATATATATATATATATATATATATAGACATACATATACATACACACACACTATAATTTACGTATATACTGCAACCACTGTTGTTGCTGTTTTGTGCAGTGTGCTCAAGAGAGATGAGAGCTGCTGATGACCTTGCAGCTGCATGGCAGTGAGCCTGGACTCAGGGATGCCAGAACTTTGACAACCACAAGAGAAGGACAGGAATGGTGTCTTCGTATTCAAATCTTATCACCTGGAATTTATGCATCCAAAGCATAAAAGACACTCAAAAACAAATTAGTACAAAATGATGAACTGATGTGAAGGAACCTTAACCTGGTTTCTTTGGTGTCTCTCAAGTGAAGCTGTAATTTGGGCGAGCGCAGAAAGGGGAAATGCCTTGGCAAGTGCCTGGCACCCCCGCTCCAACATTCTGCTCTAGTCGGATTTGCTGCATATTATTAAGTTTATGACTCAAGCTCACATGCACGCAATTTTGTCTCCTGTAATAGTTTAGATTATACAAAAAGACTGACATCAACTCCATAACCTGATAAAGCTACTTAGGCAAAAAATTATGAAGACATTAAAACATATATACAACAAATCCAGGAAATCAATGGAAGACAATAAATCATCATACACACATCATATCACACTAGCAAGGCATATTCGTACGACAAGAGACAAAACTGGGCATGCTTTCTTAGGTCCATTTGAGAATCATTTGGCTGTGGTAATGCTGACTCCCTTGTGGGAATTAAATCATCATTGTTTTGCCATTAATATTTGAAGCTGGAGTTTACTATACAGACTATGCTAGAATGTCATGATTCTAACTCTTCTATTGGTAACACTTAACAATGCAAAGTTACCATTTTGACATATATCACTGTGGCATATGTTACATGCAATAATTTTGATCAGATCATTTTACGATTACTCTAGCCTATCTGCTTTACAACATAACCAATGAGATAACGATCACAGGTTATATACAGTTATTATATACACAATTCTCTAAGTGAATCAAGAAACGGCTAACAAACTCTATGTACATTTTAACCTACTCGCACCCATCAAAAACACTCGGATATATTTTGAAAGCTAAATATTTATAATTCAGCTGCAGCACCCAAAGAAAAAAATAAATAAATAAATACACCAATATATGTATAAATAAATAAAATAAATTTTCTTTCTATATTTTTTTTTTCCTTATTGCCTAAAATAATTTCCTATTTACAACCAATTTCTCTTAATTTTTCCCTAGAACAAGGCTGGGTGTACATTTCTGACAAGGAGCTAGCTTTCGAACACCTCTTAATTTTGTACCAAAAGAAGCACTTCCATAAGACAATTAACTGTGAGTC